CCCCACTTTGGAGCACAGTTTCAGTTGCTCATAGTTTTCCCCTGCTGTTGGGAAGAGGAGCTGGGCAAAGGCAGATGTTTTTATGTATGTGTCATTTGTAAGACCAATGTCTTCAGCTTGTCTTGTTTTTCAGCATGCCTTAGTGAGAGCCAGATATGGTACATATGGTAATAGGAACTGAGGTAATTGGGCTTTTAGTGTGAGGTATTATGTTTAACACTAGAGCTCTGGTGCACGAAATTCATGCACTCGGGCATCGCTCAGCCCTGCCTGTGCCGTCTCACAGTCTGGGAGCCCCTGGCAGGTGTCTAACTGCCGGCTTAGACTTGCTCCCTGCAGATGTGGGAGAGGTTCCTGCCACAGCCACTGTGTTCGCTAGCCATGAGCCTAGCTTCTGACTGAGCAGTACTCTCCCTGTGGGAGTGCACTGACCATCAGGGAGCACCTCCTGCATTGAGTGTCTACTCCCTGGTGGTCAGTGTTCATCATAGTGACCAATTGTTTCACCATTTGGTTGATTTGCATATTAGCCTTTTATTATATAGGACTAGAGGCCTGGTGCATGAAATTTGTGCACCGGGGTGGGTGCTCCTCAGCCCAGCCTGCACCCTCTCCAATATGGGACTCCTTGGGGGATGTCAATTGCAGGTTTAGGCCCAACCCCTGCAGTTGGACATCCCTCTCACAATCTGGAACCACTGGCTCATAACTGCTCACCTGCCTACCTGATTGCCCCCTAACTGCTTCCTTGCTGGCCTGATTGACACCTAACTGATTCTCTGTTGGCCTAATTGCCCCCAACTACCCTCCCCTGCTGGACTGATCACCCCTAAGGCTTTTATTAGTATAGATATGACCCTGCACAGAAAATTTTACTAACCCTGCTTTATGCTTAAATCGTTAAGGGCTTGATGATTGAATCATTAGGACCAGACACCAAGATTTCCTTTCTTTGAATAGTGGAGGGAATAATTATCTTGTCTTTAAGTTGCCTGGAAATTAAAATGAGATAATGACTTAGAAAAGTATAAAATCACCATATAAGGACAACTGTCTTTTTCATGTACTGAGAAGATAATGAAGTGGTAAAATGAAAAACACTATTTTTATTGTTGCCTGCCTTCCTTTATGCTTTTATTTAAACTTTGAAATTTATAAAAATTTCACTCCAATGTTCATTTCTTTATAATTAATATTATTTTCTATTGGTTTCAGGTTTTATATTAATTACAAAATAGTGGTTAGACAATCATATACTTTACAAAGTGTTCCCCGATATTTCCAGTACCCACCTGGCATCATACTATCATTACAACACATTGACTATATTCCCTATTTAAGTGACAGTGGGTTCACAGGTTCTTCCAGTCTTTCTTTTGTGTTGCTCGTCCTTCCTTTTCTTTCTCACTTCTTCCCTCGTTTTCTTTATATGGTATCTCAATTGGCCATCAAAGCTCAGTGGAGGCACTGGGACACGCTTCATCCATTTTATTTTATTTTTTTTAAAATATATTTTATTGATTTTTTACAGAGAGGAAGGGAGAGAGATAGAGAGCTAGAAACATCGATGAGAGAGAAACATCGACCAGCTGCCTCTTGCACACCCCCTGCCAGGGATATGCCCGCAACCAAGGTACCTTATTTTCCGGCATATAAGACGACCCCCTAATTTTACAGTTAAAACATAGGTTTATGCCTATATTCGCTGTATAAGACTACCCCCCACTGCAAAGAAAAGACTTACTTTGCCGTCAAGATCTGCAGGTAATTTTTGTGTAATTTTGGTCTTTTGCCCCCGATTTTCGGTTGACTTTTTTTTGTTTCAAAAGTCATCTTATATGACCGGAATCAAACCCGGGACCTTTCAGTCCGCAGACCAACGCTCTACCACTGAGCCAAACCGGTTTCGGCCACTTCATCCATTTTAGAGACCAGGAAACTGAGGCCACTTCCAGTTGGCTGTGGAACTTGACTCAGCACACAGGAAGCCCTCAGAGCCATGTTCTTTGCTCTTTCTAAGGGACAGCCCTGGGGCAAACAGAACAAACCTTCCAGTCAGGCTTTCGAGCTTCTTTCTCAAGTACCTCTTCATTGTGGATGCTGTACATTCTTTCCTCTCCCTGGACCCCTGCCCCTATTCTTGACTGCCCCCGCTTCTCCGGAGCAGGTGGAAGGCTTCGCACTCACCGCCTAGGCATGCTCTGATGTGGGCCGGGCGGTGTGAGCTTGCTTTTGGGCCAAGGCAGGAGCAGGAGTAGCTCTCTGAAGTGTAAAGGCCACCTGAGCGAGGCTAGTTAGCACTGGAAGCTTCTCTGAATCACTTCAGTCAGCACCTGCAGTGCGGCACCCCTCCACTGAGGTGGGACCACCTCTCAACCCCCCCTCCCGCCTCAGGGGTGAGGGTCCTTGTCCCTCTGCCTGGGAGTCCTTCCATGACCCTTGATCCCTGGCTGGGTCCACCCACGTCTTGGGGTCACTGCAGAACCTCTGTCTCTCTGCAGGTGAGGCAGATCCCTGCTCTCAGTCTTCCCAAAGTGTGAATCTGTGGCCAGAGGCCTTGTCTAGGTCTCAGCAACCCCATGTCTGTGATTTTTCCAGGGCCCTACTGGAGCGGCTAGGCAGGCCACTGCCCCTCCTGGGGCCTGCAATGAACCATTGGCATCTGGTGCTGCCCAGCCTGCCTCCCCAGCCGATGGACTGGTACCATGTGGATGGTGTCTGGCACTGCCCACAGGGCCTCTTCTGCCTCCAATGGACCTGCCTCCAAAAGCGGGCCATAGTATTGCCCGCCCTGCCGCTTATGCAATTTAACAATCATCTTTGGTGGTTAATTTGCACACTCACTCTGATTGGCTGTGGGCATAATGAAGGTATAGTCAATTTACATATTTGTCTATTATTAGGTAAGATGGCTAGAAACTGGGCTGTGTTTAATGTTTGCTGTAGCTATACCAGAGGTTTCAGTTTGTTCAGGGTTTTGTTTGTGCACAAGTGTGGGTGCATCTGTGATTCTTGGGGGGGTGAGGGGGTGGAGCAGGCTTCTCCCCTGCTATATTCAAGTTTCCCTAAAAGCTTCTCTTTTTGTTGTTGTTATTGTTAATCTTCACCTTTGAAGTCTATTTTTTCCCATTGATTTTTAGAGAAAATGGGAGCGGGGAGAGACAGAGAGAGAGAAACATCATCAAGCCTGCAACTGAGGTATGGAATCAGACCGGTCACCCTTCAATCCTTGGGCCAATGTTCTCATAATTGAGGGAAACCAGTTAGAGCAAGAGACTATGTCTTACAGTTCTTGCAGTTGTAATCCACTATTATTATACTGGAGCTCTGTTGATGTGGCAGTAAGGTGTTGGGGAGAGGAAATATTCTATAATTTTATGATTAAACTAGAGGACAGGTGCACAAATTTCTGCACGGGGGTGTTTTGCCCCTTAGCCCAGCCTTCACCCTCTCCAATCTGGGACCCCTGACAGGCAGTCAGACATCCCTCTCACAATCCAGGACTGCTGGCTCCCAACTGCTCACCTACCTGCCTGCCTGATTGCCCCTAACCACTTCTGCCTGTTAGCCTGATCACCTCCTAACTACTCCCAGCCAGCCTAATCAATGCCTAACTGCTTCCCTGCCAGCCTGATTGTCCCTAACTGCCCTCCCCTGCTGGCCTGGTTACCCCTCATTTCCTTTACTTGCCAGCCTGGTTGCCCCTAACTATTCTCCCATGCAGACCTGATCCTCCCCGCAACTGTTCTCCCCTGCAGGCATGGTTGCCAATAACTGTCCCTCCCTGCTGGCCAGGTCAACCCTAACTGTCCTCCTCTATTGGCCTGTTCACCCCAATTGCCCTCCCTTGCAGGCCTGGTCCCTCCAAACTGCCCTCCCCTGCTGGACATCTTGTGGTGGCCATCTTATGTTCACATGGAGGCAGCCATCTTTTGTGTTGAAGTGATGGTCAATTTGCATATTACCTCTTTATTATATAGGATATTTACCTTTTATCATGGAAAGCCATGCAGCTATATGTTGGCCTATTATTTTCTTTCTTTGTAGTCTCTTTATCTGATTTTGGAGTTAGGATAATGGTAACCTCATAAATAAAGAACTTGGGAAGTCTTTCCTCCTCTTGAATTTTTTAGAATAGTTTAAGAAGGATAGATATTAGTTTTTATTTGAATGTTTGATAAAATTCACCTGTGAAGCCATTCGAGGACTTGGACTTTTAAATGTAAACACAGAGAAGTTGACATTTTTATCATCTTTCTTTTTCCCCTTGCCTGAATACTATCCATCCCCAATATTGTTAAAGGTAGTGGATGTTTAAAATGTGATGTTCACAGATAGTCTCTGCAACTATGCCTCCTTTCTCCTGCATTAAAATTTCTATTCTATGTACCAAAATAATTGTTATCTTCATGATTGTTGACTTAGGAAGTCAGTGGCTCTGTGTGGTTCCTGCCCATCAGCCATTTCTGCCACAGTTCCCAAACTGCACTGACAGGCCCTGGGGTTCCACAGAGAACTCACAGAAGCACTGAGAGATATTTTAAGGTCTCAAGAAACACTATGACATTTGTTGAATACTACATGAACAGCTATTACTAAGTTGTTTGAACCTGGCTACTTAATAGAATAAGATAAAAAGGACCTGTTCAGTATTTCTTTTGACCTAGAGGCACCATGAAAAAATTATTGAGGCATGAATGGTACTATGAACAGAAGTGGGGGCATCTCTGCATTACCCTATTCCCAGCATCTTATTTCTCTTTGGGGATCCATGTGGATCTGAAACTTTGGATTCAGCTCCAGATCATGAGATGAAGTATATAATGAAGCTAAGATAATCAATGCAGTCTATTCCGGGCCTTGTGAAGAGGTGAAAATGTGTCCTAAATCAGCCCAATCAGTAAATTTCAAATATCATGATTTGAATGCTTGAAGGATTTTAAAATCAGTCTTTTCTCTCTCTCTCTCTCTCTCTCTCTCTCTCTCTCTCTCTGACTAAGCATGTAGCCACTGGAAATGTTGACAACCATCTTTTGAACACAACAAGAGACAGCTTTTAGATGAAGTTGATACTGCAAAAGGTATAATGAAGAGACTGAAAGAAACTGAGTCTTTGGTGATATGCATGAGTCCTGGATCAAGCCCTACCTGAATCCTGGTACATTTTATCATTTATGACTAATTATTGTTTACATAAGTGCCCATCAGTTATCCTTTTTTGACTCACAAGGTTTTCTTTATATTCTGATTATTAGTCAGATATAGCATTTCAAAAATCTTTACACTTTTCTTGATTATTACATTAACTAGTATCTCCAATACAATTTTGAATAGAAATGGAAGTATTGGGCATCCTAGTCTCATTCTTAATCTCAGGCAGAGAGCTTTCAATAATTCACCATGAAGTATTATGTTTGCTATAAGTTTTGTTTTGTTTTTGTAAATATTCATTAGTCAGATTAATGAAATTTCTTTTTATTCATCATCATGAAGAGTTTAGATCAGGAATTGAGTGTTAGATTTTATCTCTTGGGGGAGCAGCCATTGCTGGACCTACTGCAGTTCTTAATGTTCTGGGCCTGGAACATTACCCTATATGGAATCTGGATTCCAAACTTTCACTTGGCCCCAGATTCTTTTTTCTTATTCTTTTCCCCTGATCTGGATATGCAGTGAACTTCCTTGTATTGCTGAAATGTGTGTTTCATATACCACCTGGCCAGCCACACCAGTATATCTGGCTGCCTTCCTTGGGAAATAAATGGAATATTAACCTGGAATCTTCACCGGAAGCATAGCATGAGAAAGGTGTGTGCAGTCTGTAGCCCTGCATAAGCTATCAAGATGGGCATGCTGGCTATGGGAGATCATCATGCACTACAAATTCTGACATCGCTATATATTTTCTCCTTTCTGTGAATTCCACCTACTACCATTGTCCACACAGTTCATTTTGTGTTGGATCCTTCTTGGTGATTTCCAGCCCATGAAAGTTGCAGTGGCTGAGATCTGTGGGCTCCTACTTCTAGTAGTAGTTGGCACTGTGATGATATGGGCTGCCTTCCACTCTGTAAATGCTCATTTGGGATTGGTACTTGCATCTTACATTATCAGATATTTTATCTATATTGAAATGACCATACCCTTTTTTTTTCTGTTAATGGGGTAAATTATATGAATTGATTTTCAAATGTTATGTTTTGCATTCCTACAATAAAGTCCACTTAGTAGTAATCTATTATTATTTTTATACATAGCTGGACTTGCTATTGTGTGGTTTAGGAATATTGCATCTATGTTTAAGAGAGATGGGTTTGTACTTTCTCACACCTCCTGAGAATTCAATTATATATTTGTTGGAACTTTTTACTATGCTCCACATATATTTCATATTAAGTTTTGCATCTCCCACTCAAATTTGACTCTCTTCTTTAGTATTGATGTTTCACACTAACTTGTTTGAGGGTTTACTTATCTTTTACCTTTAATTTATTATTAAATCCATATGTTGAGTTCTTAATTTCAATTTATGCCTTTTTCAGTAGTTTAGTGTGTTTTGGTCCTATTTCATTGAACATGTTAATCATAATTATTTATAAGTTCTTATCTACTAAGTCCAATCATCAGATCATATGGAGGCCTTTGAATGTCTTGAGTATTGGTTTAATGATCCTTTTCTTGGCATGCTAAGTAATTTTTTTTTAAATTCTGGACATTGGATATTAGAAGTCATACAATCTCTAGATCATATAATCTTTCTCTATTGAGGTTTCATCTTTTACTCTGCTAGGCAGGTAAAGTCCTAAATCCAATCAAGAACCTAGATTTGTTCACAGGAGGTGAGGCTCCACTAACCTCTCCAGGATGTAGCTCGTCAGAGGCCTGGTGTGTTCACTGAGGCCTATTATTCTGTCTAGTTCTTAATTTTTATTATTTTATCAAAAATTCAGATCTGATTTTTCTGGTCTTTGTTCTTAGGTTCTTAGTTTCCACCTCATTCAGCTTAAGAATTCAATAAAAATCTCAGGAAGAACCTACTGTGTGTGAACTCTAGTTATGACTTTGTTAAATTAACATTTATTAAGTGGAACATAGTGACACACCACTTAATAATGGGGATGCATTCTGAGGGATGCATCATTAGGCAATTTCGCTGTTGTGCAAACATCACAGAGTGCACTTACACAAACCTAAGATGGTGTGGACTGCTACACATCTAGGCTACTTGGTATAGCACTATCATATATGCAAGCCATTGACTGAAGCATCATTATGTGGGATATGGCTGTAGTTGATTAATCTCAGATATTAGTATTAAAATGAAATTTTTAAAATTGAAGAATTAGAGATTTTCCTACATGTTAGTATAATAGAACCATGTTATCACATAAGAATTAGGGTATAACACTTTATGTACAGGCTTTCATGGTATAGGAAGTGAAATCTAAGCACTTTGTGAGTTTGCTCCATAAACAAATGTATGGTTGAGTTGCTAAAGAACGTAATTTCATAATACTTAGGTGAAATTTCAACTATATAAATTAACCAGTCTTCAACCTGAAGTTTTCCAAATCCAGAAATATTTTATATAGCAAATCTCTGTATGAGTTTCTCATATTTTATTAAAAACATATTACAAAATTGGCACCCCACACATGTCTATGAAAAGAAATCTGTTTTCACATTGTCTTTCCTTCCCTTGGTGTCTTCCTTGCCAAGGTAGATTTCAGGTGAGTGGGGCATCTGTAGGTTTAGCCTACTACTAAATCCTCAGCATCCAGAAGAAGGTTCTCAATGGATATCTGTGAATAATTGTACTTTTCCCTTCATTTTATTAGTGAGACAAAGCTGGATGTGGGGGCTTGTGGGAACTCTAAGAAAGATTCTAGCCTTGTTCTTCCTCTTCAAAGGATAGGAATTGTAACCCCAGCCAGAACTTAAAGGGGAAATAATAATACTCCAGGCTAGCACTACCTGTATTATTAGAATTCTTATGAATATAATTAGAAATAATTTAAAAATAAATTACTGTATGAATTGTGGAATAAGATGTAAGTATCTACACTTGCCTTATAAAAATGTAATTTTCTTCTTTTCTCACTGATTAGAGGTCTTTAAATCTAGTGTACCATAAATAATGGTGGCATCAGAATGGAATCATCCATTTTACAACAATTTATTTACTCTGTGACCTACAGAGTCCATTACACAGACTTTTCAAATCTCACAATGAATTGCATAATGGAAATGATACTTTAAATATAATTTTATCTAGAAACTCAAAACATTTGGAAATGTAGGCAGCCCAAATAGTTATTGAAGTATAGAAGATGGAAAGGAATCTTAATTGAGAGTTAAAACCAATTTCTAATTTTGGAGTGGAAAAAATCTTTCTGAATAGCTTTTCTCAGATCTTCATTTGCCCTCTGTTCCCTCTGTCCCAAAGAGCCTGCTTTCCAGCATGGGAATCCCTGTTATATCTGGAAAGAACTTTTAGCCTCTTTAAGATATATTTTTTCATGGGTCTCTTTTCTAAAACTCAAAATGACAACACTTTAAAGATTTTAGTAACTAGTTTTAAATCAATTACTAGTAATTAAAAAAAATGTTTTATTTGCCTGCATTTAACCTTTTCCTTCAGTTGCTTTCTGTTTGTGCCTGTGGGTGGCCAGCATAGGTCTCTGAGAGTCTGACTTCTTTCCCAGTTTCTACTGAATGCATGAAACTGCATAATTCTTGAGCTTTACATGTTTACTTCTTTTTTCAGTTCCCTTTTTCTAGTCGATGTGCTCTTCTTTCACTTTCCTCTTTTCCACTATTGACTATCTCCTACCCTTCTTTTCTATGTGTTTGGGGCATTAGATTTACCTTGCTAAACTAAGGATTGTTTTTTAAAAAATGTTTTTTATTTAATTCAGAGAGAGGAAGAGAAACAGAAACATCAATGATGAGAGAGAATAATTGATCAGCTACCTCCTACACACCCCCCACTGGAGATATAGCCCACAAGCTGGCACAGACCCCGACCAGGAACTGAACCTCGACCTCCGGGCCCATGGGTGGACGCCCAGCCACTGAGCCACACTGGCTGGATAAGGATGTTTATTTCAAGAGCAAATTGTAATCTTTAACCATCAGGTTGGAGTCTCTTAATAGGATTCTAGAAGCAGCTTCTTAAAATTAGTAGCATCTGATGAAATGCCTACCCAAGATGAACCTTTTTAAAATATCTTATTTATCTTTATTTTTTTTTATTTGTAAGGTAGTACATGAGCATATGTATTTTGAAATTAAAAATGCCTTAAAGCCTATAGACCTGGAACTAATAGAGTGTTCTTTGTCAATTACATCTCAGTAAAAATAAAAATGTCTCATTGAATAACAACATATTCTTCATTCCTCTTCACCCTCAAAGTGATACTCAAAGGCAGCCAAATTCAATTCTTTTATTTGCTTCTTCACTTAGTAATATATTTGTAATGTAGTTTCTTGGGTTATGATTTCTAGACAATATCAATTTTGTATAATGGTAGGTTAGGCTACAGTTGTCTTACCCCACCGTATCCATTCCCCCTCTTACATATTTCTGTGTAAAATTTATATTTGTGTTTATTCAAGTAGAATGCTTTGCTTCTTTTTTTGTATACCTTTTTATTCTTTCTAGAATTAATAATTGCCTTATTTTATTTGTGTATCTATCACACACACACACACACACACACACACACACACACATATTTTAATGCTATAACATATCTATCAAACTAAAAAACAACTTTCCCAAAAGTTAAGTTTAGCAAGTCAAACACCTCCATATTCTGAACATTTCTCTCCCATGGCTCAATCTTCTTGCTCAAATAAGGACTTGCTATCCTGGGTTGCTGCACAGCTGTCATTCTGGAGCATTCTTTCATTAACTCTTGGGAATCTCCTTAGTCTCCTAAATCCTCTATTTCCTGTATCTCAGGTCTTTTTTTCTCTTCATTTACTTCATCACTTTTGTGGAGCAGATTTTCTGATAGTTTTCTGAGAAAGAATATACACAGGAGGTAAAAATGTTCAGCCTTTGTATATCAGAAATAATTGGTACTCTTTCTGGGTGTGATGTTTTAGATTGGAAATAATTTAGCTTCAAATTTTTAAACATTTCTCCATTGC